CCTTCTTCAGAAATGCATTTCTGAAGAAGGGTCCAGACCCGAAACGTCAGCCTTCCTGCTCCTCTGATGCTGCTTGGCCTGCTGTGTTTATCCAGCTCTACACCTTGTTATCTCAGCCTCTATGAATGTACTGTTTAAAATCAATTTACAGGCAAGAAGAGATAACAAAGAAACTAATGCCAGGTTGGAAAATATTACCACAAGTCAGTCAGTATCTGAAACAAAAATGTCCTAATGTAGAGAGAATTTGTCACAATGATTGATATTGAACTTGAGGCTATAGGGACTAGATCGAAATTGTTTTGTGTTCATTCAAGGATATGGGTTGACTGGCTGGGCCAACATTTATTGCCCATTCCTAATTGCCCTCAAGAAGGTGGTGTTGAGCTGCCTTTTCAACCTGCTTATGGTGTAGGGACACGCAGAGTACTGTTAGGGAGAGATTTCCAGGGTTCTCACCCGGAGACAGTGAAAGAACGGTGATATATTTCCAGTTCAGGATAATGAGTGATTTGGGGGGATCTTGCATGTATTGATATTCCCATGTATCTGTTGCCTTTGTCCTTTTATATGGCAGTGGTCACAGTTCTGAAGGTGTTGTCTAAGGATCATTGGTGAATTTCTGCAGCGCAACTTGTAGATGGTACACACTGCTGCTACTGAGCGTCAGTGGTAGAGGGAATGGATGTTTGTGGATGTGGTGCCAGTCAAGACAACTGGTTTGTTCTGCATAGTGTTGAGTTTCTTGACTATTGTTGGAGCTGCACCCATCCAAGTAAGTGGGGAGTATTCCATCATACTCTTGACTTGTGCCTTGTAGATGGTGGACAGGCTTTGGGGAGTTAGGGGGTGAGGTACTCCCTGTAGAATTCCCAGCCTCTGACCTGTGACTAACTTCTTTCACATCAGCTCCTGGTTGACGCCCACTGTCTATTTCCAACATGTTAGTTTGGTATTTATTTTAAATCATTGCACATTTCTGTAGGTGAGTTATTGACTAAGCTGTCTATGTAAGAACATGAACAAAAACAAAACTGCTGGAAAAGCTCAGCAGGTCTGGCAGCATCTGTGAAGGAAAAGAAACAGAGTTAACGTTTCGGGTCTGGTGACCCTTCCTCAGAACTGGCTTGTATTGAGGAAGATTTGACCCAATCCAGCTCTTTTACAAGGTGAACTGTGATACAGACTGTGGGGAGTCTCAATAATTTGGTTAATCTATTAGGTATTTTTGCAATTCATCCTGTCAACATTACTATAACGAACTTAAGTCATAACACAAAGCTTGTTAAAAAATCTAACTTGGAGTTGATGCAGATAACTAGAAATGAAATTAAATATATGGCAGGAACAAAAACAGAAGTTGCTGGAAAAGCTCAGCAGGTCTGGCAGCATCTGTGAAGAAAAAAGTCAGAATTAACATTTCGGGTCCAGTGACCCTGTTCTGAGGAAGGGTCACCGGACCTGAAACGTTAACTCTGATTTTTCTTCACAGATGCTGCCAGACCTGCTGAGCTTTTCCTTCAACTTCTTTTTTGTTCGTGATTTACAGCATCCAGAGTTCTTTCGGTTTTTATCATATGGCATGGTCAGAAGTCGTACGACACCAGGTCATAGTCCAACAAGTTTAGTTGAAATCACAAGCTTTCAGAGCACTGCTGCTTCATCAGGACCTGATGAGCAGTGCTCCAAAAGCTTGCGATTTCAACTAGACTCATTGGACTACAACCTGGTGTCATGTGACTTCTGACTTTGTCCACCCCAGTCCAGCACCGGCACCTCCACATCATCAAATGACACAACAATAAAGCAGTTTCTCTCAGTTAGTTCTGTGTCACAGTGTACAGACTGTTTCAGAAAGTGCTGACAGACCACGAGTCAGTCACACACCATCATTCCTTTGTGGTTGATGTGTATCTGAACTTTACTTACCCATCTAGGTTCCATTTACCAAAACACTTTCACTTAATGGAGACCTGCCAGTTTTAATTCTGCTGTGTTTCAGTTGATCTACCCTCAACAGAATTCTGAGACCTTTTTAGTTTTCAATCAGCAAATATTAAAATGAAATGAACAGCGGGCTATGGTGCAGAAGCAACTACAGGAAGTGATTGTTATGATTGTAATGGATTTTCTACGCTACTGGCGCGTGAAACCAACAAGTATTTATTTTCTCGATCTGTTCGCCTGTTTTTAAAAAAAAGCCTTAATAGCTTCTAAAGATTTGCAGTAAAGTTAATGATGTATACTCACTAGATAACACTCATGTGATGTTCGTTGTGGAATTGTTTAAAACTAACATCTCAAGTCATGAAACAGATGAAGAAATAGAGTGTCAGCAGCATTGGCAATTCCTGTTTCACAATTCAGAAGGTAAAAGCAAAGATTTAACTTGCAGGTGGCTTCAGGCAAGCCCTGCCTACATAAACACCTATAAGGAGTACATTTCTGTCGTGAGTTGTGGTTAAGTATGTCAGCATATCAAAGGCATTACTTGGGTTTTATTTCAGTACTTATAAAGAGACGCGTAGTGAAACTGTATGTGGTTAAATTAGGAGGTGTGTTTGTGCCATGCTTCATTCTGTTAAATAAAAAGATAAAGTCGCCATAGTCCCATTGTTTATTGAGAGAGATGACTGATGGTGGTTTAACCTGAGGGTCACCATATCTCAGGTGAGGGGAGAGGTTGAGAAGGAGAATCCTTCACGGTAACCTCAGCCAGTGTGAGAATTGAACCCATTTTGTTGGCATCTCACTCTGCAATGAAAACCAACCATCCTGTCAACTAAGCAATCCCCTAATATTAGGTTGGGTAACATTAATTCTGTGACCATCCTTGGCTCTCTGGATTATGACACCACCTTCCACACAAGGAACACAGGAGTGCTGTGTCACTTGGTGGTCAGGACCTGAAGGCTGGTGGAGTCCAACTGAAACTGTCTCCAGCCCTTGCATTTCCACTGGGAGTAGGTTGCGGCAAAATTGTGGAGCAGAGGAACCTGAACGTTTATTTCTGTTGGCTAGGAGGCACCTTCTTTCTCTTCTTCAGCTTTAAGAACCTAAGAACTAGTAGCAGGAGCAGGCCATTCAGCCCTTTCAGAATGCTCTACCAATCAGTAAGATGATGTTTTTGGCCTAGGCTCCATTTTCTCACCTGTTCCACATGCCCTTGAGCCCCCTATACCTCAGAAAGCTGTCTATCCCAGCCTTGAACATTCTCAATGATCGAGCCTTCACTGCTAGCTGAGGAAGAGAATTCCAAAGCTTCATGACCTTCGATAAGAAGAAATTCATTCTCACCTTCATCTTGAATGGGTGACCTTTTATTCTGAAGCTGCATCTTCTAGTTCTAGATTCTCCCATGTACAGAGCGTCCTCTGAGCATCTACACCATTGAGCCCCTTCACAACCTTATATGTCTCAATAAAATCAGCTCTCACTCTTTGAAACTCCAGTAAGTACAGGCCCTCCCTGCTAAATCTGGATTCATAAGGCAACCCTTTTATCCTAGGAACTGGTCAAGTGAATCTTTTCAGAACTGCTTCCAATCCAGTTAAACCGACCTTAAGTGAGGAGATAAGAACTGTACACAGTATCCCCCAGGTGTAGTTTCATGAACAGAGAATCATCGAAAGAAAAATATTCAATAATTTATTCACCTGGGCATTTTCTGACTCAAGTATTTGTTGGACACTTGGGAACTGGACACTTTTGGTGCATCTCTGGGTGAAGTTGTTGAAATGTGAATAGTGCTTTGGACCCTAAAACCTCAACCTTCCAAATATGTTGGCAGCTCAAATATCAGGAGAGGGGACCGCTGATAAACAAAGCGGACTCCACCTGGCTACCGTTTTAATTGGCCTCCTCCGCTGTGTCGTTCACATCTTGATCAGTGTTAAAACCAAATCAAGCTCCTAAATTCTTAAACAAAATCAGAAATTGCTGGAAAAGCTCGGAAAGGTCAAGCAGCATCTGTGGAGAGAAGTCAGAGTTAACGTTTCAGGTCCAGTGAATCCTCTTTTTTACTAGGCCTAGCTTGGTTAGCTGAGTCAATAAGTATGGAGCTGGAAAAGCACAGCTGGTCAGACAGCATCTGAGGAGCAGGTAAGTCAACTTTTTGGGCTGAACGCAGCCGAAACATTGACGTTCCTGCTCCTCAGATGCTGTCTGACCGGCTATGCTTTTCCAGCTCCACATTTATTGACTCTGGCTTCCAGCATCTGCAGTCGTTACAGTCTCCAAATCTTGGTTAGCTGAGTCATCTGGATGGCTGGTTTGTTATATTGACAGTTTGGGTTCATTTCCCACACTGGCAGAGGTTACCATGAAGGAGTCTCCTTCTTAACCTTTCCCCTCACCTGAGGCATGGTGACCCTCAGGTTAAACCACGACCAGTTGCCCCTCTCTCTAATGGAAGAGTGGGACTTTGGTGGTTTCACCCTTAAAATACAAATCATAGAATCCCTACAGTGTGGAAGCAGGCCATTTGGCCTATCAAGTGCACACCAACCCTCTGAAGAGCATCCCACCCAGACCTACACCCCTACCCTGCATTTCCCATGGCTAATCCATCTAGCCTGCACATCCTTCGACACTGTGGGCACTTTAGCGTGATCAATTTACCTGACCTGCACATCCTTGGATAGTGGGAGGAAACCGCACACATGGGAAGAATGTACAAACTCCATGCAGACAGTCACCCGAGGCTGGAATCGAACCGCTGTGAGGCAGCAGTGCTAACTACTGAGCCACTGCACCACCCCAAATGATGATAGAAACTACAGAACAGTTAATTAGTGAGGTGCAAATGGGAATATTACAAACTGTGTGCCTGTTGTAGTTGAGTGAATCTTTGTTTTCTTTGTCTCCTTAGTGGTACTGCCAAGGCTTGGATGTGGTCCCACTTTGGCCATGGCTCTGGTCCGATCCTATTGGATGACATTGAGTGCACTGGCAATGAACTGCACTTGGATGAGTGTGAGAAAAGCAATTGGAGGCAACACAACTGTGAGCATGCAGAAGATGCGGGCGTCTCCTGCAACCCATTTGCAGGTAAAATATTCAAGTGTTTCCCATGCTACTTTTAAGTTGCAATCAAGAGGAAAGAATGGCTGCTTGACCATCATCAAAAAAAATAAAACTCCCACCTTATCCACTAATGTCCACCACTGCAAACAAATCAGATTAGCTGGTCATTCATCATGCTGAGATTATGGTAAACATTCCTGACCCTGAATAATTGCTTTCCTTTATTCATTCACGGGATGAGGGCGTCACTGGCTAGGTCAGCATTTATTGCCCATCCCTAATTGCCCAGAGGGCAATTAAGAGTCAACCACATTGCTGTGGGTCTGGAGTCACATGTAGGCCAGACCAGGAAGGATGGCAGTTTCCTTTCCTAAAGGGCATTAGTGAACCGGATGTGTTTTTCTGACAATGGATTCGTGGTCATCATTAGATTCTTAATTCCAGATATTTATTGAATTCAAATTCCACCATCTGCCATGGCGGGATTCGAACCCAGGTCCCCAGAACGTTATCTGGGTCTCTGGATTAACAGTCCAGAAATAATACCGCTAGGCCATTGCCTCCACTCAAAATACATTGCAATGGATCTTTACTTCCAAAGTAATGAGTATGTAAGAGAAATTTCAACATGACAAACTGCTGTCTGAGTACAAGCTCTCATCCTCTTCTTCTTCACTCCTACACTCTTGATCTATGTCCTTTCTGTTTAAAATAAATAAAACAACGTGTTCAATGGATGATCCCTGCAGATGGTGCCATACGACTAGCTGGAGGCCGAGACTCCAGTGAGGGGAGGTTGGAAGTCTATCGCAATGGAGCCTGGGGTACAGTGTGTGATGACAGATGGACTGACCTGAATGCCAGGGTCGTTTGCAGGCAGCTTGGATTCAGGTAACTTTCAGCAGCCTTTAGTTTGTGTAATGATACAGCACAGGAGGAGGCCATTCAGCCCACTGTGCCTGTGCTAGCACTGGGAAAAAGCTATCCATGGAACCCCATCCCTGCTGTTGTCCCAGCAGTGTCCCACTTGATCGCACTGTCTCCTCTGAGGTTGTGGTTTCAAGTCCCTCGCCAAATCCTAAAGCACAAAACCATGGGCTTGTATTGAGGGAGAGCTGCACTGTCAGATTCACAGAGGTCCTGTCGCCCTGGTTGGGTCAATGAGCCTCGTTACCTGGTGCCAATCACTTGCTCATTTCTCATACCCCTGTGCATTATTTCTATTGAATAATCACCCCCTTTGAATGCCTCAATCGAGCCTGCCTCCACCACATTTCCAGGCAGTGCATTCCAGACCCTAACAACTTGCCTTGTGATAAAGCTTATCCTCACTTCGCCCTTGCTTCTTATGGAATGAATGGCCAGAGGAAGTGGTGGAGGCTGGTACAATTACAACATTTAAAAGGCATCTGGATGTGTACATGAACAGGAAGGGTTTACAGGGATATGGGCCAAATGCTGGCAAATGGGATCTAGATTAATTTAGGATATCAGGTGGGCATGAACGCGTTGGACCGAAGGGTCTGTTTCCATGCTGCACAGCTCTATGGCACCATAAGTGTCACCTTTTGTGTAAAACTGTTAAACCAAAGCTCCACCTGCTGTCTCAGGTAGACATGAAAAATGCTGTTACTCTGAAGAAAAGAGGATTAGTATTCCCTGATATCTTGGCCAGTAGATATCTGGCAAATTAACATCACTTAATAAGGTGATCATAGCATTAATTGGAGCTTGCCATGGGCAAATTGGTTGCCAACTTTGCTACGTTACAACTTTGACTACACGTGCAAAGTGCCCCATTGGCTGTAAGCAGTTGTGAGATTGTGAAAAAAGCTAGGTAAAAGGAAGTCTTTTCTTTTATAAATAGGGTAGCACAAGCACATGGAAAGTGCTGGACAGGCTTTGGTTACTGACCTTGTGATACCCTATGTATAACAATGTGTACAGCCTGCACTTCACCACGTATAAAAGCAAATAGGTTTGTTGGGGAGGGAGTGAGACAAGCAAAGTCCACAGAGTCGAAAAGGAAATCCTGAAAAACAAATTGCAGGGATTTGACATACAGTCGTAGAGTCATGGAGTCATACAGCGCGGAAACAGACCCTTTGATCCAACCAGTCCATGCCGAACATAATCCCAAACTAAACTAGTCCCACCTGCCTGCTCCTGGCCCCTATCCCTCCAAACCTTACCTATTCATGTACTTATCCAAACGTCTTTTAAATGTTGTAACTGTACCACATTCACCACTTCCTCAGGAACTTCAAACCACATGCAAACCACCCTCCGTGTAAAAAAAGTTGCCCCTCATGTCTTTTTTAAATCTCTCTCCTCAAAAATGTGCCCCCTAGTCTTGAAATCCCCCATCTTCAGGAAGAGACACCTACCATTAACCTTATCTATACCGCTTATTATTTTATAAACTTCTATGTTGTTGATATGTTCAGAAGTAATTCTCTTGACAACAGCTTCAAATGTACACACGAAAATATTGTATCAACATCGCATGGGAGCGTATGGGACTGTGTAGAGCTTTAGAGAAATGAGTGGTATTTTCTCACAGAGAGGGGTCAACTCCTGTTGTGTGAGTTTGGTCCCTCGAGGGGGAATTGCCGTCTTAATTCAAAGTTGTTCACTTCAAATTAACTTGAACTGAAGTCACGTTAAAAACAAATGAATTGAAATGGCTTAATTTGTACAGGATAATCTGACTTTTTTTTTCCAGCACCAAAAAGTATTTAAGCATTTTAGGATCTGACTGCAGTGAGACCCTGCCAGCCCCTTTTGCTCCCACTGCCTTTGTTGAGATTGCACTTTCCAGCTCAGTGACTTGTGGTTATCATTGATCAGTGGCCCAGGGATTGTAGCACCAGAGGCTAAGTTTGGACAAGGGACTGGCTTCATACTCCTGGATGAAGTGGTCTGCACAGGGACTGAACCGAACCTCCTGGGTTGTGCTCGGAGCAACTGGGGCCAACATGACTGCTCGCATCACGAGGATGTTGGCGTGATATGTGCACAGCAAGATACCAACAAAATAAGCGAGCCCAGTATAGGTAAGCAACATACTGTTTCACATTAAACTCTTCTACAGATTCAACGCGTAAGGAGGTTTTTTCCTTTAACAGAATTTGTTGTTAGGCCCTATTTATCTTTGAATGACTTAGAATCATAGATTCCCTACTGTGCAGAGGCAGGCCATTCAGCCCCCATCAGCTCCACACCAACATTCCAAAGAGCATTCCACCTAGATCCACCCACCCCCCCAATAACCCTGCATTTCCCATTGCTAACCCACCAAGCCTGCACGTCCCTGGACACCTGCTTCCAATACCCTTTTGGTCGCTGCATTCCAAATCACAACCACTCACTGTGGGGAGAAAATATTGATCCCATTTTCACCAATCACCTTAAACCTGTGTTGACCTGCTACTGTCCCTGTAGACGCACGAAGAAAGACTTTCCTCATTTCGACCCATCAAACCCCTCATGCCTTTGGCCAGATAGTATGTAGGGTAAGACTGCAGAACGATTTCATGGAATCCCTACAGTGTGGAAGCAGGCCATTCAGCCCATCAAGTCCATGCTGAACCTCTGAAGAGCATCTCACCCAGACCCACCTCCCTACCCTGTCCCTGTAACCCTGCATTTCCCACGGCTATTCCACCCAGCCTGCAAATCCCTGAACACTATGGGTAACTTAGCATGGCCAATTCACCTAACCCTAACATCTTCGGACTGTGGAAGGAAACCAGAGCACCCAGAGGAAACTCACGCAGACACAGGGAGAATGTACAAACTCCACACAGTTGTCTGAGGGTGGAATCAAACCACTGAGCAACCTCAACTAGATTTGGAGAGAATCACAGAAGTAGAGCAGAACAGTGATGAAACATCAGGGACACCCTGAAGGAATTGGTCAATTGGCAAATGCAACATGAAGGACTCCGAATGCGAAGCTCCTCGGAACTAGCTGATAGATTTTGTTTACAGCCATGCTCACTTGGTGACTGGTCACGCTGTGTTTACAGGGCCAGCTATCCGCCTTGTGGATGGAGAGAACAACAAAGAGGGGCGTGTGGAGGTGTACCTTCACGGAGAGTGGGGAAGTGTCTGTGATGACGGTTGGACAGACAGGGATGCAAGAGTTGTCTGCAGGCAGCTGGGCTACAGGTGAGTCAAGGAGAATGAGCGTTGTTCAACAGTTGATGAGCTCTCCAAATGTTGTATCCAAGACATGGTTAAATCCAGAAACCCAAGCAACATATTGACAATTGAATTATGTTATGCTGCCAGATCAATTATCCAGGATTTACAGCCCCTCTATTGCTGCTATGTGGATCTTCGTGATTCTTACTTCCAGAACTGGAAGTCAATGTGTCGGCATGCCAGTTGACATGTGCAGAACCTCTGAGGGAATGTTGTCAAAATGTTGTTCTTTCCTCATTCTTTCACTGGATGTGGGTGTCATGGCAAAGCCAGCATTTGTTGCCCATCCCTAATTACCCTCGAACTGAATGGCTTGATAGGGTCACTTCCAAGGACAGCTGAGAGTCACCCAGATTGCCCTGGGTCTGGACTCACGTGTAGGCCAGTTGACTAAGGATGGCAGATTTCCTTCCCTAAATTGCATGGCTCGAGCTGGGCATCTTATGGACCAAGGTGGCACTTTTATCTTCGCTGTTGCAAATAACTGCTGGGTTATTTCAGGCTGGGTCCCATCACTGAGTCACCCTTTATGTACTTGTGCACAGTACACTGACTGTAGCTAGCCAGCTCGGAATCAGTCCTCAACTGAGGAGCTTCTAATCTTCATCAGCACCTCCACATCCTGGATATATTGGTCAGCCAAGGTTTTCCTGTTCTGGCCCAGGTTAACCACCCTAATCAAGAACCTCACAGTAAATGAGTGAACCTGGTGCCAACCACTACAAACTGGAAATATCAAATCGCTAACAGGACGACTGGCAATTCAGGGAAAGTCAGAACGTTAAGGAAGATGCAACTTTGCAGAGGAAATAGAATCAAATTAGAAATAGGAAAGAAAAGAAAGATTGAATAAACAGAGAGACAGAACAGGAAAGAAAAGTAAGAAAAAGATTTAATTAAATGATTAATAGACTCCAGTAATAATTTACCACCTGCAGGAATGAGATTTCACAATTTCAACCATTTCTTTTCTCAACCTTGAAGACTGATTCTCATATTAGGTCAATAAATCCAATAATTAAGAAGGTCACCTTGACACAAAATAACATGAGATTTGTTTGCATTTTTACTGCAAATCCGACAATTCCCTAAAACTAGTGGGAAGATTGACAGGAAGCTATAGTCTTCGGGAGGCTAATGGTTGACTGGCCCTAACTTTCCAGAAATTTGTGGTAATTTGTAGGGCACACTGTCCAAGTCCACACTACAAACTGTTGGATCCTTTCCACAATAATAGTGATATAATTGTCTTCATTTCCCCAGCAATTTCCCAGCCATTCTATAACAGGTAGATCCAGACAAAGATATTTCAATTACATTACATAGAGACATTGAAAATAGAAGTAGGATAAGGCTATTCAGCCCTTTTAGCCGTTCAATGTGATCATGGCTAACCATCCAACTGAATATCCTGTTCTGCTTTCTCTCCAAACTCTTTGGTACCTTTAGCCCTAAGAACTGTATATAATGTTTAGCTGCATTATTGGACAATATTTGTGAAGTTCTTGTTCTGTCTTTCTGGTGAGTGACACTCAAGCTGGGAGCATCACTTTGTGGTATGTAACTCAATATGTCACATCTATGATAGACTGAGATAAAGTTGAGGGTCCTGTACATACTGACATTAGGATATATGGTGGCCTAGTCAGTGCCTGCCACATCCTGTAAACGAATACAAGAGAAGATGTAGGATAAAGTGCAGGAGAAACTTTGAGAATGAGAGTTATGAGGGTCATTTAATAAGTGAAGCAGAAATGAATGTCAACATTTAGGACTGAGTTTGACAGGTGGTTAAATGAATAGGATTAATGGAATTTAGGAATGAATAAAGGAAATATCAAGTATGGTGTGGAATGGGCCTACCCTCTTTGGATTTTAGAAGGATGAGAAACGATTTCATTGAAACATAGAAAATTGCTCAAAGGGTTTGACAGGGTCAGTAGGGAGAGGCTGTTTTTCCCTGGATGGGGACTCTAGGACTAGGGAGTCATTATGTCAGATTCTATTCTGTAACTGTTGGAGAAGATTCACTGTGTTGGCTGTGTCCTCAATGATGGCAGAGGACTAAACGTCTCTGTCTTGGAATTACAGCACAGTTATTTCAGCCGACCTGGTTCATGTTGATGTTTATCCCTCACAAGAGCCATAGCCCCAATTGTCAAATAGGCGTCCTATTCCAGGAGAACCAGAAAGAGGAGTTTGGCCTCTCGAGTCTCCTTTACCATTTAATATTGTCTTAGCTGATACTCTACCAGAGTTTTACTTTCTCACCTATTCCTCATATCCCTCTTTGCCTTTAGAATCCACAAAGTTTATCTATCCTCACTTGAATATAATTATCCACCGTTCTCTGGGAAAATGATTTCTGAAGGTTCTGAATGAGGAAACGTTCACCTTATCTGAGTGCTAAATAGACAACCCCTTATTCTACCATAACAACACCTGAGTCCTAGATTCCCCATCCATGGAAAAACAGCCTCTCTCTATTGAATTAGAGATAGTAGAACTGCAGATGCTGGAGAATCCGAGACAACAAGGTGCAGGGCTGGATGAACACAGCAGGCCAAGCAGCATCATAGGAGCAGAAAGGCTGACGTTTCGGGCCTAGACCCTTCATCAGAAAAGGGGGAGGGGAAGGGGGTTCTGAAATAAATAGGGAGAGAGTGGGAGGCGGATAGAAGATGGATAGAGGAGAGGATAGGTGGAGAGGAAACAACAGGTCGAAGGGCGGGGGTCAGACGACATGTCCATCCTGGGCCTCCTGCAGTGCCACAACGATGCCACCCGAAGGTTGCAGGAACAGCAACTCATATTCCGCTTGGGAACCCTGCAGCCCAATGGTATCAATGTGGATTTCACAAGCTTCAAAATCTCCCCTCCCCCTACCGCATCCCAAAACCAGTCCAGCTCGTCCCCGCCTCCCTAACCTGTTCTTCCTCCCATCTATCCCCTCCTCCCACCTCAAGCCGCACCCCCATCTCCTACCTACTAACCTCATCCCACCCCCTTGACCTGTCCGTCCTCCCTGGACTGACCTATCCCCTCCCTAACTCCCCACCTACACTCACCTTTACTGGCTCCATCCCCGCCTCTTCGACCAGTTTGTTTCCTCTCCAACTATCCTCTCCTCTATCCATCTTCTATCCGCCTCCCACTCTCTCCCTATTTATTTCCGAACCCCCTTCCCCTCCCCCTTTTCTGATGAAGGGTCTAGGCCCGAAACGTCAGCCTTTCTGCTCCTATGATGCTGCTTGGCCTGCTGTGTTCATCCAGCCCTGCACCTTGTTGTCTGTCTCTCTCTCTCTCTCTATTGACCCTGTCAAACCCTTTGAGCAATTTTCTATGTTTCAATGAAATTATTTCCCATTCTTCTAAAATCCAAAGAGGGTAGGCCCATTCCACACCATCCTTGATATTCCCTTTATTCATTTCTAAATTCCATTAATCCCATTCATTTAACCACCTGTCAAACTCAGTCCTACATGTTGACATTCATCTCTGCCTCAGTCACTAACTGATCCTCACAACTCTCATTCTCGAAGTTTCTCCTGCACTTCATCCCACATTTTCTCTTGTATTCATTGATAGGATGTGGCAGATGCTGACTAGGCCACTATTTGTCTCTAATTGTCCCTAAGAAGGTGGTGAATGCCTTCCTGAATTGCTGCAGTCCTTGTAGGATAAAGTCAGCCACAGTCCTGAGAGGGAGGGGAATTCCTTGCTTCTGATTTTACCTTTGATCTCCTGCTCCTGAATACTTAATAACTGGAATTTCCTCAATGTCTCCCCTGATTAAAGGTAAAGACACCATAGTCCTATTCTCTCATTAGAGAGAGCTGACTGGTGATGGTTTAACCTCAGGGTCACCATGCCTCAGACAAGGGGAGAGATTGAGAAAGAGAGTGCGTCACTGGTAACCTCAGTTAGAGCGGGAATTGAACTCATGTAGTTAGTGTCACTCTGTTTGCAAACTAGCTAACTGACCCCCTGTCCCTGATTGGATACCAGCCAGTGGAAACTTTTGTTATTGGCTTGCTTGATTGGGATTTCTGCTGGAGTTGTATCAGCCAATACTGAGACCTCATCACTCCCCAGGAAGAAAAAAAACAAGTGACAGCTTCTATCTACCCCAACCGATGCAACAGTTTTATCACCCCAGGCGTTAATCTGCTCAATTCTAACAAGAAAAGCCCCATTTCTTCCTTTGCTTAAACTGATCACAACTGCCTATCTAAAGGGAAGGTTGTGGTATTGTACTGGTAATGTCACTGGGCTAGAGATCCCGAAACCCAGGCTACTTGTGCTGGCTGTATGGGTTTCAGTCCCACTGTGGCAGATGGTTAAATTTAAGTTCACCAAAGAGTTCACCACCTCATGGTGTTAATTGCTGTTAATACCTACCTGGTTCACAAATGTCCTTTAGGGGAGGAAATCTATTAGCCTAGATGGAACTCCAGACTCACTGCACTGTGCTTGATTTTTACTACCCTCTGGACAATTAGAGATAAATACTGCCCTAGCCAGTGTTGTTCACAAGCTGCGAAAAAATATATTTTAAAAAGTCTTGCGTCATTCAAATCTTCAAACCTGTTCACCATTCAATGAGATTGTGCCTGATCTGAAGTTTTCTCCTTGTTTCTACAACCCATGATAACGTTGCCAAATGAAAATCGATTGATCCCAGCTTTAAAACTTTCAAAAGCCCCTCAGCCCCCACCTCATAACAACTGCAGTTTTTTTGGGGAGATGAGGGTCTTCCAGATTTCCACAAGTCTTTGTATAAAAAAGAATCTACCAAGAATAGCCACACTGTAATTTAAATGTTTTACCGCTCCCCACCCACCCAATTGCAGAGACATTTTTAATCGTGGGTAGATGTTTCCCTAATCGCTACGTGTTGACACAGTCAGAAATGACATTGGGAAGGATCTCCTGTGTGGAAAGCTTTCTTGTATGTTCGGGGTAAGGGTCCACACAGTGGCCAAAAGATGTCTGCCATTTCAAGCCCCACCCATCAGTTGCAGAAGGGAAGTGGAAACGAAGCTGACAATGAGAGGACTCTTTCTCTTACAGTGGCCAATCCAAAGCCAGAACAATGGCCTACTTTGGGGAGGGCCACGGACCTATCCACTTGGACAACGTAAGATGCACCGGCCATGAGAATTCCCTGGATGAGTGCAGCACACCTGGCTTTGGAATCCATAACTGCTGGCACGGGGAAGATGCAGGAGTCATCTGCGATTATAAGGAGGATGCTCTCGAGGAGCTTAGCAGTGGTGGTGAGTATTGGCCACGCTGACCGCTGAGAGGGGATAAGCTTCTATAAAGTCTGGAGAGAGAAGCAGTGGTTTTTTGTCAAAGTTTGTCTCGAGCAGCTCCATGACGCAGAACTCTGTCCTCTACATCTGTTCCCCAGGACGTACACCAGGACAGACATCAACTGCGCCTGGAGGACCATCAACTCAGTGAAAGATACTTTTTGGTCTGCTCCATCCTTGTTGGTCTTCCAGCGCAGAGAGTTGACCCTGACCGAGTGTTGCAGACTGGCACATTCCAAGGTCCAGGACTACGTGCTGAGGGACGCACTAAAGCTTGGGGCAGCAGCTGCCAAGGTGCCAAGGGGGGAAAGACCATCATCTAAGGTTTTTCTGCCAAAGTTAAATGGGGGTCTGTACAGTTTTCGGATCCTCCTAGTGCCTCAAATGTGTGTAAATAGTATTGTGCATAAGTAAGAAATGCCTTGAGTTTGTTCGTTGGAATCGTTGGGAAAGTCAAACTTCAATGTTTGTTTGATGTCCATCGGCAAAGACTGTACAGGACTGCTCTAGTGACAATACATGTATATAGAGACTGTTTAAATTTTAAAAAAAGAACATTCCCATCCCAAACCTTCACTGAAAGTTACTGTCCAATGTACTCCAACGCAGTGGTGAAGATTGATTGTCCGTCATTTTTAACACAAAATCTAGTCCATGACCGAAATTATCAAAAGGGTTTTGTTCTTGAAACATGATTCTACTTTTCCTTACAAAGACTGTCATATAACTCCAGCATTTCCTGCATTTATTTTGAACTCATGATCAGAGCCATGATCAAACTCTTTTTAATTTTAGCCTCATATTTCACATAAATTAGAATTAGCTTTATTGTCATGCACTCAAATGAGCACAGTGAAAAGTTTACAAGTCGCCACTAATGGTGCCATCTTAGGTACAAAGGTACCTAGGTACAGATTCTACAGTACAAATTCTTAGGGAAAAAAAATTAGAAAAACAAAGATATAAGAAGTTCAGCATTGCAAATAGTAGGAATAAATTAGAAAATAGAGAAGTAAAAAGTCAGAATAACTGTCCTTCCAACTTGGTCCATGCTGGCACCCAGCCTCCAGCCCACACTGGGCCTCGACTCCAGACGTGCCAGGCTTCACCTCAAGGCTCTTGTGAAATCATCTCAAGGCCAGAAGTCTGTGCTGAGGCCACGCCGGGCCGAGAGACCGCCACACCAGGCCGAGAGACCGCCACACCGGGCCGAGAAACCGCCACACTGTGCTCAGAGATCGCCGTGCTGGGCCAGGCCTTTAAAGGTGTCATCCCCTTTTGAGGGACTACCCTCCATACACACATTGAAAATAAACGGTTCATATTGGCACCTCAAGCATGTCAACTTTAATTAATACACTGGCAGAGATGTATATACTTCAGAGTAACGTACTTTATAATTTTATAATAATTATGGAATAAGCTTACTGCCTTTAAATAATCTATTTATGAGAAGTTTTAAACAAAATATCACTGAAAACAAAGGACAAATACCTTGACAAAGGACTTGAAAAGTTAACTCTGTTTCTTCCTCCCACAGAGTTTCTCCAGCACTCTCTGTGGTTAAGCTTAAATTTTAATCAGCTTTGTTTGGGGATGTTTAGGTTCTTTGCCTTCAGTGTGTGGTCTCCGTTTGATAAATCGTCGCAGAAAGCGGATTATTGGAGGGAATAAGTCAATCAGGTAGGAATTAAAAATGATATTTAAGTCAACGCTTTTCTGTCCCGGGAAAACACTGACAATCTGAGTTTAGAAGGGCACAATTTTGAATTTTCGATAAACTTTCGATAAAAGGTATTTAATAATTCCGTGCATTATTTCACCTTCCTACTAGACCACCGGATAATGTAATTAATTTCTGGCTTGGTTGATGTATTTTTAAATGAATGGGATCATCTTCTGTGGAGAAAGTTTTAGGAGGGAGGGTGTTATAGAATTATTAATAGATGAGGCTGATTCTCACAGGAATTAAGAAGAAATTAGGGAGATCTTATGGAGAGAGGCAGATGGATTTAAGTACACGTTAGTGGGTTGTCAGATGCCACCTTGATCAATCAGTTAACCCTTTGTCTTTCTAAGGTTACTTCTGTTCTTTCTATCAACATAATAAAATGATTCCTGCTTTTTGTTACATCTGTCAATCCTCCTTATGTTTCCTTGGGATCACCTTTACACATTCCTTCATTCAGAATATTCAGCTAATGGCAAACTGTTTGGTTCTTAACCAGCAAGCATTCCTAGCTCCAATTTCCAAGACACTGAAGCTCGTATTTTCAGTCAGGTAGCCCGAGGACATTGGAAATAGAGTGCAGACCATTCCCCACAGAGAAGGATGTTTGTAACTTATCTGGAATGCTATCTAGTGACCGGAGCATGCAATGGGATAACTGTACGGGTCTCTGCTTCATAAAACACAAAAGTCCTGGCTTACTAGCTAACAGTCTTAGCAACATGTTCAGTAGTGAGGTGAGAGTGACCGCCCTTGACATCAAGGCCACATTTGATCAAATATGGCACCAAGGACCCCCTTAGCAATACTGGAGCCAAAGGAAATTAGAAGGAAAATCCTTTCCTGGTTGGACACATACCTGGCACAAAGGAAGATGGTTGTGGTTGTTGGAGATCAATCATCTCAGTCCCAGGGCATCTCTGCAGGAGTTCCTCAGGGTAGTGTCTTAGGCCCAACCATCTTCAGTTGCTTCATCAATGACCATCCCTCCATCATAAGATCAGAAGTCAGGATGTTTGCTGAAAGTTGTGCAATGTTCAGCACCATTCATGACTCCTCAGATACTGAAGCACTCCATGTACAAATGCAGCAAGACCTTGACAATATCCAGGCATGGGCTGAAAAATGGCAAGAAACATTCACGCCACACAAATGCCATGCTATAAGCATCTCCAACAAGAGAGAATATAACCATCAGCACTTGAGATTCAGTGGCATTACCATCACTGAATTTCCTACCATCCACATCCTGGGGTTACCATTGACCAAAAACTGAACTGGACCAGCCATGTAAGTACTGTGGCCACATGAGCAGTCAGAAGCTAGGAATACTGTGGTGAATAACTCACCTCCTGACTCCCAAAAGCTTGCCCACCATTTACAAGCACAGCCCAGAGACTGAATGGAATACCATGAGCTTGGTTGAGTGCAGCTCAAACAATTTTCAAGAAGCTTGATACCATCCAGGACAAAATAGCCCTACCTTCGAAGCCACTCACCATCCTGACTTGGAAGTATATTGCCTTTTCTTCAGTGTCACTTGGTCAAAATCCTGGAACTGCCTCCTTAACAGGATTGTGGATCTATTTATACCAAATGGACTACAGCAGTTCAAGGAGAAGCTCAGCGCCACCTTCTCAAGGGGCAACTGGGGACAGACAATAAATGCTGGCCCAGTCAGTGATACCTATGTATCCTGAATGAATTTTAAAAAAAAGAGACCTAGGGAGAGAGATTTAATGAAGTTCCATATCTACATGTGTTTGCAATTTTAAAATCGACTCCCAAACAATTTGAATACAAGGTAGCAACTCTTAAATGCCAGTCTCCAAGGTTAATGAATTTCATGAGTGAAAATAAGTGGTGTTATCTGAAGATCTCTTTTGAATTTGACGTGTATGGGAGAATTTTTACAATGTGTTTAGTGTATCTTTGCCTGTTCGTATTCTTATCTGTAGAAAGAAAGTGTAAAAACATCAGAGCTTTCAATTACTGAGAGCTGTATCTGTAAAAGACATGCTTGTAGTGAGTAACTGCATGCATCAAATACCGAAAACCGAACTTGGGGATTATATTTACATTGAAGTCACTTTAAATGGATAGATTGCTTAATTTTATCTCACTGCTTGCTCCCAATACAGCCAGAACCTGTGATGTTCGTTCTTAGCCATACAGAATCTGCCTTTCATTATGTTCAATGAGGAAGTTACTGGTTCCCTGGCCACCTGGGTATATTCCTGGTGGTGGAAACATTGAATAAAGTCATTTTTCCACAAGGAAGTTATAATTTGCCTTGTGGACTACTTAGTTTAAAAGAAATGTACATTGCTTCAAAATGCAACTGGAACGTGATCTATTGCATTTCTGTGTTGACCAGTGCTGCAGGTATTCAAAGTGACCCCAGGTTCACTAATGTCCTTTAGGGAAGGATACTGCCATCCTTACCTGGTCTGACCTACATGTAACTCCAGACCCACAGCAATGTGGTTGACTCTTAACTGCCCTCTGGGCAATTAGGGATGGGCAATAAATGCTGGCCTAGCTGGTGATGCCCTCATCCCAAGAATGAATAAAAAATAAAGCTATCAAAGCGCTTTATATTTTTCAAGCCCTGCATTAAATCACCCATGACCTCTGTCCACCACAAGGAGAACATTCCCAGCTATCCCATCCTCTCTACCTGTTGTGACCACCCATCCCAGTACCCTTCGTGGAAATCTCTTCAGCTTCTCAGGCCCTTGATATTCTTCTTTAACTGAGGTGCTCAGAGTAGAATGTCTGATGGTTTCCTGAAGGTTTAGCAGAACTTCCTTGACTGTGTTCTCTACTTGCTTTAAGGATCCCCCTGTATCAGAAGAAACAGCTGTGAGTGTGTGGGCTCATTGTAAGCCACACACCTCACATACAAAGTAAAATGTGTTGGTTGTTCTTTTTCTATTTGGTGAATTTGTTCCCTCTCTGTAGTGTATGGAGGTGTAACGATACTTTTGGGCTGTTTTTCCAGAGGGGGCTGGCCATGGCAAGCTTCACTGAGGCACAAGACATTTTACCGAGAGAGTCGTTTACTGTGTGGAGCCACACTAATCAACAACTGCTGGGTGTTGACGGCTGCTCACTGCTTCAAGAGGTTTGTGAAAGGGAGCATTGTCTGTCGCTTTCATTGTAAAAGACCCGTTTCCTCATTCCGTTTAGATTTACCGGTGTGGTTAACATTTTAGTTTTTGCTTTACGTGTGAGTGGTATGTCTCTACCCCCAGCACTGAGCCCGGTGCAGTAGCTGTGTAAAACTTATGGCCTGTTTGTGGTGAGCCTGAGGGTTTTGAAGTGTCCGCTGGATCGCACCCTTGCCGTGGAGTCCAGAGATCAAGGTTTCAAGTCCCACTGCAAAGGCTTTGAGTGCGACCTCCAGACTGATACACCACTGGGGCTGCCTTTGAGAGGAGCTGTTAAACTAAGGGTCCCCTGTGTAAACAATTCCACATCACCACATTGGAGATCTGCAGTCCTGGCCAAAATTTATTCCTCAATAAACATCACACAAGCAGATTATCTGCTCGTTGTCATGCTGCCATTTATGGGATCTTGCTCTGCACAGTTTAGCCACCGCATTTCCCCGATTGCAACATTGGCTACACTGCAAGAAAAATAACGCTTCCTTGGCTGTAAAGTCCTTTGGGATACTGTGAGGCTATGTAAGTGCAAGTCTTTCTTTCTAACCATACGGATGTGAAACAGACATGCACTCTGCTGAGCTATCATCACTAGTTAATTGCACAATGCTGTGAAAATATCACTTCGCAAATGTCTAAAACAAGTATTTTGCCTGTTATTTAGATGGAAGTGTTATCCTGTTTATAAGTGGATTAACTCCTCTGTCATTCAATGGGTAAAGGGGTTGAGCACTAAGGCTCTAATATTCTCACAGAGAAGTGCCACGTGAATTGAATGGCGAGGTTTTTGTGTCCTTGCTGATGTGTGAAGGGACTGGAAGATATCTAACATCCATAAACCATACCCTCCCAATATTCATAATAAGGCTATTTCATTATAAGGCTGTGAGAAACTCTGATCATCCTCCATAAACCAACTCAAAGGTACAACATCAGCTTGTGGCTAATTTAAGCACAATGCAATTGCTCAAGATTTTTTAAATCTTAGTGCAGTAGGATGAGTAATCTGTCTGGCAGCTTCTGTGAAGATAAAAACAGTTAATGTTTCTGGCATGACTCTTCTTCAGAATTCCCTGTGTTTGTTTCAGATGTCCAGCATCTGCAATATTTTGCTTTATTAGGATAGGTATTGTAATTGCTTTAGTATCCAGCATGTATAAGGGCATGTCAAAGGCAGTTAGGGACTATTCTGGCCTAACCAGCAAAGCTCTCATACCATTAATTAATTTTTTAAAAATCACCAACGCCATCATGAAAGAGTCCTTCAGTAGGATCTTCCAGAGCCATACCTTCTGCCACCTATAAAGCAAGGGCAGATTACTTAGATTGAGCATCACCTCCAGGGCAGCTTCCTCTCCAAGCCACCCAACATTCTGACTTAGAAATATATCACTGTTCCTTCAGCGTCACTGGGCCACAATCCTGGAATTCCCTCCCTGATAGCTTTGTGTGTCTACCTGCAGCACATGGAATGCAATGGTTTAAGAAGGCAGCTCACCACCACTTTCTCCAGGGCAACCAAGGAAGAGCAATAAATACTGGTCTAACCAGCAACGCTAATGTCCCATGAACAATAAAACTACAGCTGGATCCCAATGACTCATGGCATAACTCAATGCTTGAAAACACTTAGCACAAGTTAGATAGAATCTAAGAGTAACACATCAGAGGGCGGAATCCCTCATAACATTTAAGAAGAATTTAGATGTACACTTGCAATGCCAAAGCTATGCACCAAGTACTGGAAAATGGGATTAGAATAGGTGGTTGTTTTTGACTGGCACTGACTCAATGGGCTGAAGGGCCATTTTCTATGCTGTAGATCTCTATGACTCTAAGAATAAAATACTGTAAACACTGGAAACATTAAAGAAAGACAGAAAATCATGTCATCATTCTGGTGGAAGGTCATCACCTGAATTGTTATCTGTTTTTCTCTCTCCACGGATTCTGCCTGGCCTGCTGGGTATTTCCAGCCTTTCCCATTTGGATGACCTATAATAAATGTAATTATTGAGCATTATAAAAGCACAGTAGTAGTGGGATCGAATTCACTTTTATAGAATGGGAAGTTTCGGATTCACAGTTGGCACTGTGTCCTCAACAAAGTTTAAAAGTGGTGCTAGAAATCTCACGCTGTCAATAATGTAATTATAATATGCACTTCCTTTTCCCTCGAATGGGGGGTTTCAAGACTAGGGGGTCTATTTTAAGGTGAGAGGAGAGAGATTTACAAAGGAATGAGGGACAACTTTTTTACACAGACTGATTCGTGTGTGGAATGAACTTCCTGAGGATGTGGGTACAATTACAGCGTTTAAAACACATTTGGATAGGTACATGAATTGGAAATGTTTGGATGGATGTGGGCCAGGAGTAGGCAGGTGGGGCTAGTTCAGTTTGGGATTATGTTCAGCATGGACTGGTTGGACCAAAGGGTCTGTTTACATGCTGTATGACTCTGTGACTCAGGATGTCCCAAGATGCTTTACAGCCACTGAAACACCTTGGAAATGCTGTATTAATAAAGGGTGATCATCTGATGTATCATTTCTGATCGATCCATTCTGAAGAAGGGCCACTAGATTCGAAGCATTAACTCTGATTTCTCTCCATAGATGCTGCCAGGTCTGCAGAGCTTTTCCAGCAGTTTCTGTTTTTGTTTCTGTTTCTGATTTCCAGCATCCGCAGTTCTTTCAGTTTTTAGTTTTGATGTACCATGTTAAGTTGCTTCTCAGAGTTTACCTTTGCAGTGATCTCCTTTCTCCAGTTAGTGACAATCCTTGTCTCTTATATTCTTTCTGCCTATCCCTCTGAAACCACTTTCTTTTTAAAGTTTTATTTTAATTTGGGTGAGTAGCATCGAACTGTATAACAATGTGAATTATTTCTTTAATGATTGCAAATCGTTGGAACCAAACAACAGGCTCCTAATTTCTGAGTGTGTATAAGGGGACACTCCTCAGTAATATGCAGTATTATTTTTGTTTCTCTCCACAAGTGCGTAAGGCTCCTGTGATGGAGATTAGCAGCACAGGGGCCCTGGCTTGTCCTGAACTTGTTTAGCAAGGACCACTTTTACTGTGATGGGTCAAAGTTTGCCCTCTGACAGATGGGATTTATCACAAAAATATTTTGTTGGTGACTTGCCACGTTTCCCACTCCTCGGTGCAATGTCTGCATTTATTTAACGCCATTAAATGGCCCGAGTGGCTTCACAGTACCATTAACGAACACCGCTCAAGAAGTTAGAGATTTTTCGGAGAGGAGTTCCAGAGCTTAGGACCCAGGCAGTCAGTGATGGAGCAGTGGAAATTGTGAACGTACGAGAAGTCAAGATTGGAGAAATGCAAGGATGGGTAGGGATGGAAGAGGTTACAGGGGAAGAGAGGGATTGAGGCAATGGAGGGTTTTGAAAATAAGAAGGAGAATTTTAAAATGGAGGCTTTGCACAAATGGGAGAAAATCCTTCCTATGGTTTCATCAGCTGATAGTTTGGAAGGTGACGGAAATAGCAACAACTGAACTCAACACCCTTGGGCTGGGCACACACAGTGCAAAGTGCTGTGCTCAACTAATGTACAGGCAGAGAATCATAAAGTCATACAGCATGGAAACAGACCCTTTGGTCCAACCAGTCCATGCTAACCACATTCCCAAACTAAACTGGCCCCACCTGCCTGTGCTTGGCCCATTTCCCTCCAAACATTTCTTACTCATGTACTTATTTAAATGTCTTTTAAACTTTGTGACTGTGCCTGCATCCACCACTTCCTCTGGAAGTTCACTCCATACACGAACCACTCTCTGTGTGAAAAAGTTGCCCCTCATGTCCTTTGTAAATCTCCTTCCTCTCACCTTAAAAATATGCCCCCGGTTTCAAACTCCCCCACCCTCGGGCGAAGACTCTTGTCATTCACCTTATCATAATTTTATAAACCTTTGTAAGGTTACCCCTCAACCTCCTACGCTCCAGTGAAAAAAAGTCTCAGTCTTTCCAGTCTATTTTTATAGCTGAAACCCTGGTAAATCTTTTCTGAACCTTCTTGCATGTTTGGCTGGTAACTGGGAGTTAACAATGAAATCAGCTCTAATTTCCCAACACAGCTTCCTGTGCCTGATTGCAAGTTGGCGTGTCCCCTCTGGCCTTGTTCCTGTGGTAATGGGCAGCAACATTTAGCAAACAATTGACTGTAATTAGCCTCGTGCTGCAGAGGGCGGTGGGTGGGACGCCTGGACTACGCCTCAGCATTATCACAAAGAGAGGGAACAGAAGGGGTAAAGAACTACCATGGGAAGGGTGGCTTGCATTTATAACGCTCCTAATAAGACCCCTACGATGCGCCAAAGTCAGCTAGTCATACAGCACAGAAACAAACCTTTCAGCACAACCTATCCATGTTGACCACATTTCCTAAACTGAACTAGTCCCATTTGGCTGCATTTGGCCCATTTCCCTCTAAACCTTTCACATCCATGTACTTGTCAAAATGTCTTTTAAATATTGTAATTGTACCTGCCTCTACAACTTCCTCTAGCAACTCATTCCATACACGCACCACCTTCTGTGTGAAAAAGATGCCCCTCAGATCTCTTTTAAGTTTCCCCCTCTCAACATAAACCTATGCCCTCTAGTTTTGGACTCCCCCACCCTAGGGAAAAGACCTTGGCAATTCACCTTAAACCTCAATAAGGTCACCTCTCATCCTCCAACGCTCCAGGGAAAAAAGTCTTAGCCTATCCAGCCTCTCCTTATAACTCAAACCCTCCAGTCCCGGTAACATTCTTGTCAATCTTTTTTGCACCCTTTCCAGTTTAATAACGTCCTTCCTTCAGCACAGCAGCCAGAATTGTATGCAGTACTCATCGGGTCAGTAATAGGCCATTCGGCCCCTCAAGTCTGTTCCATCTATCAATGAGATTATCAGGTCAGCCATGATCCTCACCTCCACTTTGCTGCCTTTTCCCCATAACCCTCGATTCCCTTCCTGATTAAAAATCTGTCTATCTCAGTCTTAAATGTACCTGATGATCCAGCCTCAATAGCCATCTTGCAGCAAATGAAGTGCTTTTGGTGGGGAGTCACTGCTACAGTAGGGAAATACAGCCACTGATTCGCCAAGCAAGATCCCACAGACAACAATATGGTGACAACCGGATTATGTTATTGTTTGAAAGAGTAACGTTAGGAAGGACGGGGTGAGGGGGAAGAATGTCTCGTTCTCTGTAGAAATTGTACCACAGGGTCTTTTGTATCCACCCGAGAGTGTCGGGAAGTGCCTCACGTTCACATCTCATCTAAAGTGCCTTGTTTTTTTGGCAAATTGGCTGCCAAAATGTTTTCTGTATTGTAACAAACCACACAAAACACAACACTACAAGATTGTAAAACGTTTTGGGATCTGAGTTTGTGATCACTTGACGTTTGATGATCTGATTACCTTACAACAATGCACACTATTAATATGGGTAGAAGTCACGTGACACCAGGCTATAGTCCAACAGATTTATTTGAAATCACAAGCTTTTGGAGCGCTGCCCCTTCTCTCACTTCACCTGACAAAGGAGCAGAGCTCCAAAAGCTTGTATTTTCAAATAAACCTGTTGGACTATAGCCTGGTGTCGTGTAACTTCTGACTTTGTCCACCCCAGTCCAACACCAGTATCTCCACATCATGACTATTAGTATAGATCAGCTAATGCCATGTTGAGATTGTACAGGGCTTGGTGAAGCCTCCTCAGGAGAAGTGTGTCCAGTTCTGGTCGCCCTGTTATAGGAAGGATATTATTAAGCTGGAGAGGGGTTCAGAAAAGATTTACCAGAATGTTGCCAGGAATGGAGGGTTTGAGATATTAGGAGAGGCTGGATAGGCTGGGATTTTTTTTTTCAATGGAGCGTAGCAGGTTGAGAGGTAAGCTTATCCAGGTTTATAAATAATGAAGTGTATATATAGATAAGGTGAATGGCAGGTGTCTTTTCCCTAGTTGGGGGAGTTCAAGACTAGGTGGAAAAACATCTAAAAAAGATATGAGAGGCAATTTTTTACCAGAGAGTGGTTCGTCTGTGGAATGAATGCCCATAGAAGTGTGGATGCGGGTACAGTTACAACGTTTAAAATACATTTGAATAAGTACATGAGTAAGAAATGTTTGGAGGGATATGGGCCAGGAGCAGGTGGGACTAGTTTAGTTTGAGATTATGGTCGGCATGGACTGGTTGGACTGAAGGGTCCGTTTCTGTACTGTGTAACTGAATGACTCTAGGACAGCATGGAGGACAGTGCAGCACTCCCTCAGCGTTGCGGAATTTAACAGTCAATATACTGGAGTGGGACTTGTATCCACAACTGACTCAGACGAAGGTTGCAGCCCATTGAGACCCTCAGGGCAGCTGTTGGGTCTTGGATGGGGTTTGGATATAACGCTGCTTCTCCAAAATGTGTTTCGAGAACGTGATGCATAAAACAGAGAAGTGGGGATGACCTTTTCTTGGAGAGCATTCATTTCAAAGAGAGGGATGGCCTTAACTCGGCTGTTGAACTTTTCAGGTTTGGTAATGAGACGCGACATTACTACATTCGAGTCGGTGATTACCACACGGCGGTGGAGGATGAGTACGAACGAGAAATCCCTATTGAAAGGATTGTTACACACAAGAACTACAAGCCAGACAGCAGTGACAATGATATAGCGCTGGTCAGAATGAAAGGGAAGGAAGGACATTGTGTGACATTCAATCAGTATGCAACTCCAGTCTGTCTGCCGGCCAGAAAGGAACGGATCAGAATAAACAAGCATTCCTGCTATATCACTGGCTGGGGAGATACAGGTAGGTGGTTTGACAGATTTCTGACCCACCTTAAACCTATACCCTCTCGTTTTGGTCTCCCCTACCGTGGGGAGGGAATCGAGGGAAATGGTCGACGAGTGGCATTAACACCGCAATTAGATCAGCCAATTAGATTATTAAATGGCAGAACGGGCTTGAGGGGCCGAACAGTCCTAACTGTGGCAGAGAATTTCACTGGATCACCACTCTCTGGGTGAAGAACTATCTCCTCATCTCAGTCCTTGATGGCCTACCCTATCCTTAGACTTGGACTCCCGTTTCTGGAGGCAAAAGTCACATAGGTAATGGTTTCCATTGTGAAGGATAACTTCACAGTCCAGATTAATGAACTGAATTGCTGCAGTGGAATTTGAACTGCTCCTACTCTTTCCGATTTGGCATATAATCATGGATCTACTACACTATCAGTCTATTGACAATGCCAGTACACCGTTAATGGCCCATTCACAGGGCCAGGGGAAGGGATGGAATCTCAAAGACGTGGATGTAACTTTAAAATTAAAGCTAGGCCTTTTTAGCAGTGAAATCAGGAAACATTTTTCACACAATAGGCTGTGAAAATCCAGATTTCTTTCCTCTGAATGGCTGTGGACATTGGGTCGATTGGAACTTTTCCAAGGCTGACAATGATTGTGTTTTGTAAGGTGGCAAGGGATGCTATTGAGCTAAGGCCACCAGCAATTGTGGAAAAGGACAGATGCTCTTTCTGCAATATATCCTCCTTCAAATATCTACCCAGTTGCTTTTTGAAGGCTACTATTATATCTGTATTCTGCAGCCTGTCACTAAATACTCAGTGCATTAAATAGTTTTTCCTCACTCTAACCTCAATTTCCTTTGCCAGTCACCTTAGTTTATGCACCCTGTTTGTCGATCTTTCAGCTATTGGAGACACTTTCTCTGTATTTACCCTATCTTTATGATTTGAAATGCACTAATCTCCTCTTAGCATTCTCTAAGGAGCAAGGTTCCATGTCACATTGCTGTAATGTTTCAACCCTGGAACCATTCTAGTAAGTATCTTAAAGTCATGGATTTATACAGCATGGAAACAGACCCTTCGGTCCAACTCGCCATGCCAACCAGATATCCTAAATTAATCTAGTCCCATTTGCCAGCATTTGCCCCATATGCCTCCGAATCCTTCCTGTTCATGTACCCATCCAGATGCCTTTTAAATGTTGTAATTGTACCAGCCTCCACCACTTCCTCTGGCAGTTCATTCCATACATGCACCACCCTCTGCATGAAAATGTTGCCCCTTAGACCCCTTTAAATCTTGCTCCTCTCACCTTAAACCAATGCCGTCTAGTTTTGGACTCCTCTTCCCTGGAGAAAAGACTTCTTCTGTACACCCACCAAAGTCCTCATGCTTCCTGGAGTGTGATGTCCAGAATTGGGTACCGTGCTTTAGTTTGTGCTGAGCACAATCACGTCTTACAAATTGCAACGTTGACAATGATGAAATTCAGTCTGTGCCCCCTGTTAATCTTATCATTTCGGGCTTTTCCCAATGGAATTCTTCAAAGATTTCAGCTTTTGCCCCTTTGGAGGACACCCCATTAAAGCTGTCCTTTACTTGGCTTCACCCTGGTTTGAAACATTAGGCTTAGCCATGTCTGTATCAGATGCTGAGCATGTTGAGAGGCCATTCAGTCCATCGTGTCAATGATCTCTTTGAAAAAACTCCCGAAACCTGTTAATCCCACATTCTTGCTTCTATTTCAAAGCCTTCCAGGTTTTTAATTTTCAAGTACAAACTGTGCAAGATAGTGGACCATAGCAACTCACTGCTTTAAAAATATTGTGGTAAACATTGGGGACACCAGCTTTGTCTGCTGTGAGCCCTTTTCGAATGTATCGCAAACGGCCAACACTCGAGACCAAGCAAATACAATGACTTGTCATTGTTCTTACCCACTCTTTAGGAAGATCCTACTCAAGAACGTTACTGCAAGGTGCGGTCCCCTTACTGCCAAAGAAGATCTGCAAGAGCCGCTACAGTGACAAGTTCACCCCCCGCATGATTTGCGCGGGCAATCTGTCCGAGCACAAGCGGGTTGATAGTTGCCAGGGCGACAGTGGTGGCCCTCTAATGTGCCAGCGCACGGGAGGACGTTGGGTCATCTTAGGCATCACATCATGGGGCTATGGATGTGGACAGAGAGATTCTCCCGGCGTTTACACAAAGGTGGCCAAATTCGTCTCTTGGATCAAGAAAGTGACGGAAACTAAAGTAAAAGGACAAGAAAAGCCGGTGAGCTAGCGAGCTCCGAAGGAATAGCATGTCCGGGAAGGATGGCCAGGGGTGGTGGGCAAGGAAACAATAAGCTGCTGGATTAATTTCTTACACAAAGGCACCAGAGATCTCTCAGAGTGGTAACTGTGTTATAGCCTCTGTCTGTTTGAGTTTGACAGCTGTCAGCAAACACAGTGTTAGAACCAACTCCAACAGTCAAGCTATGACAGGATTATGTCGAGGTTTCTTTTTATTCATTCATGGGATGAGGGCAGCATTCATTGCCCATCCCTATTTGCCCAGAGGGCAGTTTAGAGTCAACCACATTGCTGTGGGTCTGGTGTCACATGTAGGCCAGACCAGGCAAAGATGGCAGTTTCCTTCCCTAAAGGGCATTAGTGAATCAGATAGGTTCATTCCTGGAAATCAGCAATGGTTCTGTGGTCATCTTTGGACTCTTAATCCCAGATTTTTCCTTTATTGAATTCAAATTCTACCATCTGCTGATTCGAACCCAGGTCCCCAGAACATTACCTGGATGTCTGGATTAACTGTCAAGCGGTAATACCACTAGGCCATCACCTCCCCTGGTATCAATTTCCATTTTGCAGTTCCATTGATGGTTATTTAAATTCAGCATGATACCTTCTTTCTCACTATTTTACTTTGCAATTTTAATTAACGGAGAAAGATTGCCTCAACTCCTTTCTTTAGCAAAGATCATTTCCCAATGTTGATATGGGTAAGTACAATCAGAAAGCTCCTACTTATTTTGTGAACTAGAAACACAGTCAGTTTGGATCTTGGATAGGAAACTGTTCAAGTTGAGCTCTCTGGGTTTGAATGAACATTTCATTTTTCCGTAGAGTGGGCAGGAATGGGAAGGGGGGTGAAAAAGGAGCAGTATTTTAGGCCATCATGCTCTGCAACACCTGACTTCTCTACAAATTATTCTTTTCCCACACACCTAGTGGCACCTAGCATTGTGCGCACACTCACGTCCAGTATCTGTGGCTAATTTTCCTCTGAAACAGGTTAGTAACTTGTAACCGGAATCTTAAACTTTAGGGACACCACTTCACATCGAATATGGCAGATCAGCATGAGTCTCTCCCACTCTAAGTGACTTCCACAAGTACATTGGAAGGCTCCCCCTCAGGCTGACGATCAAACTACACCACTGCACCATTCACAATTGTCAAGTCCTGGGGCAGGACTTGAACCTGGAATGCCAGGCACAGAGACAAGAGCACAAGGAGAATCACAGCCCGACAGTGTGGGGGCAAGCCCATTTGGCCCATCGACCACACCAACCCTCTGGAGAGAAGCTCACCCAGAACCATCCCATCCCTGTAACCCTGCATTCCCCATGGCTAATCCACTCTAACCTGCACATCTTTGGAGTGTCGGAGGAAACCGAGCACCCAGAGGAAACCCACGCAGACAGTGGGAGAATGTGCAAACTCCACACAGACAGACGTAGAGAGTCATAGAGTCATAGAATCCCTACAGTGTGGAAACAGGCCCCTCAGCCCAAAAAGTCCACACCGACCCTTGGAGCATCCCACCCAGAACCATCCCCCTATAACCCACCTAAGTTGAACATCCCTGGGCACTACAGGATAATTTAGCCCGGCCAATCCACCTAACCTGCACATCTTTGGACTGTGGGAGGAAACCGGAGCACCCGGAGGAAACCCACGCAGACACGGGGAGAATGTGCAAACTCCACACAGACAGACAGTCGCCCCAGGGTGGAATCAAACCCGGGTTCCTGGTGCTGTGAGGCAGCAGTGCTAACCACTGAGCCACGGTGCCGCCCCTCGTCCAAGGCTGGAACTGAACCCAGGTCCCTGGCACTTTACCGCAATCCCCTCCATGCAGACCTTTACAAAATCACAATAACCAGAAATAATCAATAATCAGAAAGGCTATTGGAATATTGGTCTTTGTGTTGAGAGGAGCAGGATACAATGGGGTGGAAGACATGAATCAACTATACAAAGCCCTGGTTACAACACATATAGAGCCACTGTGAGCTGTTTGGGGCACCATACCATAGAAAGGATGTATTCGGGAGGTGGAGTAGGGAGAAACATCAAAATGGTCTCCAAGAGCTAAATTACAAGGAGCTAAATTACACAAACTAGCATTGCAACCCCTGCAATTGATATGGTTCAAAGACAATTTTACTTTCAGAAACAGATAGGGTAGATAAAGTTAAACTGTTTCTGTTGGTTGTGAGCCCAGGACTGGAAGGGAGTGTCTGGCGATCAGTAAGACCTCTCGGGAATGACTTTAGGAAACATTCAAAGGATGGTAGAAGTTCAGAGCTCTCTCCCACAACCGACAATTGTTGCTGTGTCAGTTGTTAATTATAAGTCGGAAATGGGTAGATCTTTGTGATCAAAGGTATTGGTGGGTATGGGGAAAAGGTTGGCATTTGGAGTTAGCTCACAGACTAGCTATAATCTCGCTGAATGACAGAACGTACTCTGGGGATGATTGGTCACTGCTCACACCTCCATTCATATATTCCAGACCATTTACACCATTACTCTATCCCATGCCAGCCCATTGGGCAGGACGTTGACACCCAGTCCTTCTGTAGGCACATGCACAGTGTAGGTGATGTAATGGTCCACACACTGTTCCCCTTGTCACTCCTCTCTCTACTGCAGGGGCGGCACAGTGGCTCAGTGGCTAGCACTGCTGCCTTGCAGCACCACGGACCCGGGTTGGATTCCACCCTTGGATGACTACCTATGTGGAGTTTGCACGTTCTCATTGTGTCTGTGAGGGTTTCCGCTGGGGCTCCAGTTTCTTCCCACAGTCTAAAGATGTGCAGTCTAGGTGGATTAGCCATAGAAAATGCAGGGTTACAGAGGTGGGGTCTGGGTGGGATGCTCGTTGGAGGGTCAGTGTGGACTCGATGGGTCAAATGGCCTGCTTCCACACTGTAGGAATTCTGCAACTCTACTACCCATGTCACTCCTTTCACTGCTTTGCTTTACACTGCATTCACCAACTCCCTTGCAGTACCCTCTCTGAACCGCTACCGCCCCATTCTCTAACCCCAGCCACCACCAACCATTCACTCACTAACCATCTCATTGTTATACACTAGACCTGAGCACTTCAGTAAACAATATTTGGCTTAAATACATTCATTAATTTCAATGTTTGCATCATCGTTTGGTGGCACAGAACAGTAGTATTGTTGACAAAAATCAAACAGATTTTGTTGAAGCTTTTCATTGTGCACTCAGAACAGAATTCGCAAGAAGTACCGATATAAAGAGCAACATCATTTTATACTGTACGAGAAAAGAGTGCTGACTGGTTGGCAGATAGATTCTGATTGGTAGAGATATTGCCATGGGGAATGCACCAGCTTGATGACGACTGACAGTTAACTGCCAACCGTTGTTTAAACTTAAACTGGATAGGTTGACTCTGATTGGTCAAGGCATTGCCCTGAGAAATGAACCAGTGAATGGCTGCCACAGATTTGTAGTTTGATTTATTGTAGTCACGTATACCTAAGTACAGTGAAAAGCTTTGTTTGCAAACAGTACATGTTGATCATAGCAAGCAAGGATATAGAGATCATGGTATTTTGTTAAGGTGCAGTGCATGGTAAAGAACAGGGCCCTGTGTATTCGTTCACATAGCTCCTAGTACACACAAGTATGCCATTCCTGTGAACCTGACTGAGAATCCTACATTGGTTGTCACCCTAGTACCTGCCATGTTGACAGTGGTAGAGCTGTGATGCATCTTGTAGCACTATGATATACAATAGCAGGCTAAACCCACTGCCCTGGACTGCCTCTGCCCCTAGCAGGTTAAAGCAGGAATGCACCAAATGCGGGTTATCTATTTTTTTTAACCTATGAAATCATGGTAATTAATTAACTTGGCTTCTGGCTGACTGGCAGAACACCACCTAGCATACCACCTTGCAAAGGGTGTGAAATGGTAAATGTCCACCTTTTACATGATGGGATTGGTTGTAAGAGACACAACACACATAAGTTGGATGTCACAGTACAGCCAGCGGAAGGAACATGAGGACGAACAGACCTCAGGCACTTTGAGTCTTGTGCCTGTACAAACTGAGCCTCCTAAATCTCATGGTGTGTGGCACAATTCACTGCACACCCTTGTAGATTTATGCTGCCAATTATGGCCATGTTTTCGCCAATATATTAGTATTTAAATCAAAGCAGATTGCTTTTCTGATGAAGGGTCTAGGCCCGAAACGTCAGCCTCTCTGCTCCTATGATGCTGCTTGGCCTGCTGTGTTCATCCAGCCCTGCACCTTGTTGTCTCTGTGTAAACTGTATTGGTTTTGTGAGCACTGTACTGCCCCATTACAAATAACAGTTCTGCTTTTTGATTTTAAGGGACTCTTTGCTAATCCTGTGAATTTTGCAGTCAGCTCATTTGCATTGTTTGCAGTGATCAGTAACACATATCCCTGTCTCCACCTATAAACTGAACAAATGATGCTGGAGAGCATGTTTTGTTGATTAATCAAAAAGGCGTTGTAATGAGCTTTTGAAATACTGCATCTTCCAACCAGCAGCTGAGAGAATACAAAGTGCTCATTTAATATTGATAGGTTTCATTGTGTTCATCTGCATACTGAGGAGAATTCCTGGGTGGAGTGCAGTTCTGCCGGGACACCAACAGGTGACGATCTGACACATTTTTATGAATCTTCACCTCCTCGCTCCTCAGGATCAATGACTTTGTGGGAGAGTGACTACACTGAGGTTAATAACCCTTCTGCTACTGGTCTTAAACTAATGTTTTGCATTGCTCAGCAACAAAATCTGTCACATAAATGTCAAGTGCACTCCCGCAATGTGATTGGGGGCAATTTACAACAATTAGTCACCACATTCAGATTGTTAACACTGAAAAGAAAGACTTGCATTGGAGTAGTACCTTTCTCAACTCCAGGACTCCCGCCCCCAACACCATCTGATTCCATACTTCCCTATGATTCCATATGGTTGCTGTTAGTGGGTTCATTCTTGGTATAGATTCACTGCTGCGCTACAGAAGCATAGAATTGGTGGTGGGCATGGGAGTTCCTCAGGG